CCAGACTGAATGTAGTCATGTTTTCCTTGTTAGGCAGGCAGAGACGTAGTCAATACAGCCAACCAAGTTTAGGACACAGCTCACTTCACCCTGCGTTTTTTTAGATGAATTGCACTGCTAAGCTCTATTGACTGACTTGACTAGATCTTTATCAACTCTAATAGAAGCCCAGATGCCTTGCTTAGACACAGACACCTACCTGGGTAATGCCTAAAATCACACAACACATGCAGTGACTAGCAAATGTGGTCTACATGATATTACAGCAGTTTGGATGTTTGATATGAGTTATCAAGGACCCACTGTCAACATGGAAGGAGCAGGGTATTCTAGAGGTCCATCTGGGGCTGGGAGCTGCCTTGACAACTGCTGCTGCTGACTTGGATGAGTGACTGGGAAGCATGCTTACTAGATTTTCAGACTAAAGCTGAGTGTGCCTGGAGCATGTCAGAGGACGGGGCTGGAATTAAGAAAAGTTTGGACAAACTGGAGACATCTAAAAAGATTTAGTTTCACTTCAGTATGGAGAAATAAGCTGTTTTCTCTGCCCACTGATGGTAGGAATGAAGTACTTCCTTTAATTTTAAGACAGAAATTAGCTGTCAAGGGTACATTGCCTGGAGGAGTTACATAGCCTCCATCCTTGGAGGTCTTACGAGTCTGTGGTACTGTAGAAATATGAACTAAACACTATAAATAAATAAATCAGAACACTCAGAAAGCCCACACAAGCCCAGCAGGAGAAGCACATATGTAGCCTAGATTCTGTACTCTAGCGGTATGGGGCTTGCCATGGCCTGTTGATGTTGAGAAATATTTTGCCTGAGTAAAAGCTGCAGAATTTCCGCTGCCATGAAAGAAACCAGGACCTGACACTGGACTATGGAGTGAAATGAAAGAAGTCCAGGGAATGGCATCACTTCTAACAACTAATTTTTATGGAGATATAAATGGACGATTATTTATGTCTCCCTTTGGTTCTTGCCCTATGGAGACTGAAATAAGGTGAGTTGCTTTGATTGAAGCATAGAGCTGCAAATTACTAGAGAGCCCATGACTACCATCCTGAAGATTTTCATTATCAGAGAGCAGATGCCATCAGGGCCAAGTGCTTGGCAGTGCTGTTTTTGAACAAATCAATTCATTCTGACTTCCATCAAAACTTGCAAAATTAAGAATTCAAATGGAGACTGATCCCCCCTGACCTGCAGCATGTGTCCTTTAGAAAAGGATATTTGCAAGGCTTGTTCAGAGATCTGATAAAGTGCAGGTAAATTTTTTCATTTGATATTTACTGGCTCTGGTCAGTTCACAAATTCCCAATCACAGACTTGCTAAAACTAAATGTTATGCCCTTTTCATCATGCATTAAAAAATAACATGTATTTAGCGTGTAGATGATGTCATCCTGGCCAGGTCTCAGAAACTGTCAGGAGAGCAGCACCCTCCCTTTGCTGAGGTTACGGGTGCTCTGCCGTGCCGGTCCCCGTGGTCTGCGCTGTGCCCACTGAGGCTGGGGGAAGCAGTAAGTCACCCCGTGGGCTGGGGGTGGTGGGACTCCCAGCCCTGCGGCAATAGCTGCTTTGGGGCAGTGCGGTACCGCTCTGTCGTAGGTGCGGACGCACACGCTGACGATGCCCTGCCTCAGCCCACTCCTGGCTGAGTCGCTGCCTGTGCAGGTGGTATTTCCCGACCGCAGACTCTTTCGGTGTTTTATCACTTGTAGACATGGCACAGCAGGCTTAGAAAGGTCATAAGGAGCCCGTGAGGTCCCCCTATTTTTCAGGCAGCCAGCCTTTCTGATGTTCCGCTCATTTGGCTCTTCTGCAATGCTCTGACAACGCAACCCAGATCCTTGGGGGTAGCAAGGGCTCTATCCTGAATCACCACACAATGACTGGAGGAATATTTGTTGTGAAAACTGTGAGAAGAGCCTGTGTGTGCAGCCCCGTTACCAGCATGGAAACTGGCCCTGGGCTTTCTGCTGCAGGGGACAGGGACTGGTCACATAGCCTGAAGCAGGTGTGTACCTGTGAGCATCTGTGTCCACAGACATGCCCAGAAACATGTCTGGTTTTATTCTTCTGTGGAAAGTTGTATACACCTCAATCCAGTACAGCGTGAACATAAAGGGCTGCTAAGCCCCTCTTGTGTGTAGGGGCCTTCTATCAGCCTATTATTCTAAGGCAAGACAAATTGTAATCTGTCAATTTAATGTTATTTTGCTCAGAATCTGGGACCAGAGTGTTGACTTTGCAAGGAAATGGGGGGTCCTGGTGGCAGCAGCATGCATCACCACATGCTGCCTTCGGTACAGAGAAGCCAACACCAGAGGAAATCCTGGCCAGCAGTGACGATAAAGGAGGCAATTAAACAGGAGAGGGTGGATCCGCAACGGGAAGAGTGAAGTGGAGAGCCGCAGCTCTAGACTGAGGTCCTCCCAGCAAGTGCATGTCTGCGATAACGGGAGCATTGCAGGTCAGAGCTGATGCATTCACAGCTGTGTGGGAAGTCTGCTGACAGCCTGCTCTTGCTGTCTGGTTCTCATCCTGACAGCCAAGCCGTCACTTTGGCTCTGCTCTGCGGAGTCTTCCTCCTGCCACCTTCCCCGTCCCCTTCCTCCTAGAGCTCCTACCAGGTGGAACTGAGCAGAGACGCTGGTGTGGATGGGATGAAAGCACTGGGAGCGCTGAGAGCCTCAGGGGAGCAGGGCAGCATTTCAGAGAAGCCCCTGAATAAAAGTGTGCAGAGGGGACGGGGGAAAGCACGGCTCTTCCAGCACAGGCCATGGACTTCGCCTGGCTGACTGTGAAAACACAGGGTCCTTATCTTAAATAATCACCATTTTAAAGCTGTGCACATGGGAAGCGAGGCAGATTTGTGCTCTCTGCCCTCTGGCAGCTGTGTCCTTCAAAGGTATTTTCGGTGGCAGCTCCCAAGGCCACACAGCAGCACGTTCTGGTGGGGCAGGCGCCGGCTTCGGCACACGCTCCCTAAAGCTGTTGGGAGCCGGGATTAGCGACCTGCGCTGCCCAGCACGAGGGTCCATCTGTGCAGCCGTGGCACTGGATTAGCTGCCCTGCGTGCTCCAGTGGCTGTAATGTTTTTCAGGAGGTGTGTTGGGATTGTAACTCCCATTTTGTGTAGCTGCCGTTGGTAGGAGGAATTCATTAAAGGTTAGCAGAAACACAGCCATAAGCGCTTTCTATGCCATGGCAATTAATTTCAATAACAATCATGTAGTTATGATCAGCCATCAGCATAAAGCACCCGTAAAGCAATGAATCAGCTCAGTCAGTAAATCGAAGGAGCAAAAGCAAATGTTGGCCACCCCAGAGCCTCCAAGAAACATTATTTTCCGATCTATTGTAGAGAAAGGTCTTTGCATTTAAAATAGTCCATGAATGTAAACACACTGAAAATACTAATGAAAATTAATATGATTCTATAAATCAAATTATACATGTATTCTTTGATTTCTACTTTGAAATCATTTTTACACATTTAAAGTATTACAAACATGAACGTGGTTGGACTTGATTGCTGCTAAGAGCAAACACTCTGAGGAACTTCATTAGGAGCAATATTCGATATTCATTAACCTTCAGTTTATTTGATAGTGAAGAGGATATATTCCTGAAATACTACATCTGCTTTTCCTCATATATGGAGTGAACATCAATCAGGTGTAATTCTGCTGGAGTCTATTGTCTGGTTTCACCACTTCCCTGCTCTTTTGCCCCAGTAGAAGTGACCACACAACTGGAAGTGAAGTGAGGTCCAAGAGCTGGCACCATCGGTCTAGTAACTGTGCCTGTGCTGCGGCAGGGCGCATTTGGGGAAACCAGGACACACCAGTGCAATGCTCGTGCTGCTCAGAGCCAGGAGCTTGACATCACGGATTTATTTTTATCTCTGTTTAAGATGAAGATCATCAGATCTGTAATTGTAGGGCAGGGTGGTCTGGAAGGCTCGGTATGATGTGCAGTCAGTCTTGTGCTGCTTTACGTGACAGAAGCCTAAGTTATGTTGGGGTTTTTTTTGTGCATTCATTTTTCGGTGCCCCGAAGGTAATGGATGAACCTGTCCCTTCAGTGCTGGAGGAGGGAAAATCCCTGGAGGGAACAAGGAGATCGCATTCTACGCCTCCCAGCCAAGAAGCCCGTGGTGGACATGCAGCTTAGCGGGGCAGTTAAAACGAGGAGCAGACGGCATGGCCGAAATCTCGTCCTTTCGGTCTCTGCACGCAGCAGCGCAGGACCTTCAGCCCCCACCTCAGGACTGACAACCCCGCCGCCCCCCCC